GTATATATATGTGCATATATATATATATATATATATATATATATATATATATATATATATAATTCCCACTTCTATAAGAGCTCAAGCTGATGAAATTGCTGATTTACCTTGAGATTTTACAGTCCAACTTGAAGCGGATCAAGACAAGCAGAAGCCACCATTTAGTAACAGAGCCTCACATTTGGACGAATGTGTAAATAATTTATTATATAATATTCATATATTATAAACTGTATTAATATATATATATATATATATATATATATATAACACTTCTTGTGAAAGTATTGTATCCTAGTTTTTAAACAAATATTATGTATCTTAATTTTTACGAATGAATCATTTGTAATAATTTTCGAGCTTCATGCGAGCGGTAATAATAATTAATATTATAAGTATACGTTAATTTACTGTATTATATAATCTCTCACACACACACACACATATATATATTTATATATATATAAAGCTGACTCGTATTCACACGATGTTAAATTACATCATAAATTAATATTAATTATTTCCTTAATTAATTAATTAATTAACTAATTATATGCATGCATATCATCTATTGATTTATGTATAACCATTTTGAGAAATATATACATACATGTTCAAACTATCTTATTTTAACGACCGGTACAATAATAATTAAAATGAGATTATATAAACATATGCTCGAATCAAAGCATGTAATTGTTATAATAGCTCGTATAATTATTAGAGTGATATTTAATACTAATTCTTATAGTACTGTTCAACGAGTTTATGTACTAATTCTTATAAATATTTATTTGTTGAGGTATCTATTTAAACCAACGATAGTTCTAAATGTTATAATAAAATTTTATAAAACATTATTTCGAGAAATTTATGAAAATAGAATTAGATCTCAACAGAAAAGTTGGTGTTATACCACCAATCATAAGTTTTTTTTTTTGTTATGACGCATTTTATTTTTTTATTTAGTTTTAATATTTGAATTTTATTGCATTATATTTTAATAAATATGAAAAAAATACAGAATAAGTAACTGTTTAATCTGTTATATATATATATATATATATATAATGATGGGAGGATATTAAAATCAATGATAAAAATACACCATTTCTAACGAGTATACCACACAATTTGCCTGTAGGTTGGTCATAAGATATGCACTTACCCGCACTCCTCTTCTATATTTATCCACTTAAAGTTACTTTAGAAATCTCTGGTACCACCTAAACACCACATCCTATTGCCATGAATCTTCACTCATAATCTCACAACTATATTTTATACTAACATCCCTTGAAAATTATAGCTGTAGATTACGATTTATTTAACTATTACTATTTACCGTTTATTCCTAATGTACTATATGACGAAACTACTATGATACGTCTCACCAAAGATAATATAAATTTATAAAAGACACATACATACAACATCGGTGAATGACTTTTCTTCCTACTAATATAACAACAATCTACCTATCTACAAGATGGAAAGCCATTGCAAGATATCTTATTATTGCCTCAATTTATAGTGAACCTACTCTCATTTTTAGTGGAATCAATAAAAAATATAAGTTTTTACATAAATCGTATGCAACGTATTCACACGATATAAAGTATCTATCTTTATGTTTAATAAAAAAGTTAAATAAAGAAAGTACGTAAATTTAAATACAATGTTGAAATTTTAATAAATATAGTGAAAGTTACTTGTGTAATAAACAATAAGGTAGACCACTTTTTTTTTTATATATATTTCGTGTTACAATCTATAGAGAATGATAATATCAATCTACGCAATTTTACTCAAGTTTAAAAAAAGCACTCACTCAAAATAGAGGTAGAATTTTCGTAAAGTGAAGATTGTTACTAGTAGGTATGTATATGTTCTGATTCAGACTTTTATATATCTCTGTTACCAGCTTAAAAGTATCGCGTTTCTAGAAGTGAAATAGTTTTGTTACAGATTTACTCAAACTCAAGGAGCTGATAATTTAGTTCAACAACGAGTGATTCTTATCATGTAATATATCTAATGTATGTATAGATATTTGTTTTTGAAGGGGGGAAAAAAATGGGAGTTTGATGATGAGAGGAGGTGGATAAAGGAAGAAAATGAATGATTCAGATGAAGTTGCAGGAAGAATTTAATGACGACAGCCCCACTTCCTCCCTGCCTGCCAGGCGCGTGGGAGAGCTCCCAATTTTTGATAGTAAGAAAAAATAAATAAATTATTTAAAATAATAAGAAAAAAGAAGTGGGGGAATTCAATTCATATTCCCTGTCTGCAACAGCAACACATAAGCGCTCTCATACGTCTATGTCACTCATAAATTCAGGAAAAGGAAATGGCTTTCACTCCCTCTAACCTCTCTCTCCTCTTCTCACACAAACCTCCTCCTTCCTCCGTCCCCCATCCCTTCTTCTTCTCATCCATGACTTAATTTCTCTCTCTTTCCCTCTCTCTATCTCTCTATCTCTCTATCTGTCTCTGTGTGTGTGTGTATCTCTGTCAATCTCTGTCTATATCCATGTATGTCATACATATGGATGTTTTTCTAGGTGGGTGCATGAGTTAAGTCTTGCTCGAAACTGGGTTGCTGGGGAAAGTAAAAGTTGGGTAGATGGCGGTGGTGTTTGAGGGATTTTCGATCCGGTAGGTTGAGTTGAGTTGTGTGTGTTTTCATTTTCATTTTCATCTACTTCTACTTTTTTTTTCTTATCGTTCATCTGGGTTTTGTTATTACAGCGAGTATGCCTCCAAGATGAGGAGTGTTGATATAGGTAAATGCTGGCCCTTTGCGAGTGACGTCACCCCCGAAGCCGTCGACACTCTTCTCCCTCCTATTACCATTACCAAATTCCGCTGGTGGTCTCACGAGCTTCACCTTCTCAGATCAAATACCACCCAACACCCATCCGTCTCCGACACGAAACCGCGGGAAAACGACGAGAAGATGGTGGACATGGTTTGTCAGGTTGACGCGCATGGTGATGAGAGGCGGCGGGTGAAGATGGCCGCCAAGGCTAAGTGTCGAGCCCCCAAGAAGCGTTCCATCGTCGAGATTTTCGCTGTGGCGCCTCAGATTCACAATCTTGTAGTTGATGACGACTTGGAAGAAGACAGCGGTGAGGAGGAGGAGGAGGAGGAGGAGGAGGAAACGCCAGAAGCTGGTGATGGTAGTATCGGCGTCTTGACGTTGAAGTCCAATGTTGACAAGAAAAAGAAGAAGGCAAAGAAGAATTTGAAGATAAAAAAAGTGGTTGTCGACAAGCTGATGAAGAAGAAGAAAATGAAGAGGCAAAAGAGGCTCAAGAAGAAGACTAATTGTAAGGAGAGACCAACTTTGAAGAAGGTATGTGATTTATTTTCCCATAAAATATTGTCGATTTTGTTTTGTTTCGTCACTGTTTATGGTCGAATGCTTTGATTGAGAGTAAAATAGCTTTTTCCTTTCTCAATATTTCAGTGACGATAAGATATAGTTGATGTTATTTCAATATTTAGATACTGGGTTATTGAGCAATTGAATTTTAGGCAAAATCTTTTTAAGATTTTATGTGTTTTTTTTTGTTGTTTCTTTTCTTTCCCATATGTTTGTTCTCCCTTATTGAGAAAATTCACTAGTGAATAATGATAAAGCTGGTTAAAAGAGTCTATCATGCGTTGGGGAACTGAGAGCCTGCAGGTGAGCAGTGCGCTTGTAATTGTACTTGGTATGTGCAATGAGGTTCAGCACAAAGAAGAAAAAAGTTAAAAAGAAGCAGAATGGGTTGAGGGATTTTAAGGTATGATTATGAATGAACGAGGGGGTCATGGCTTTGGTGAGGTGCTCCAGGCTCCATCTATACAGTACTTTTGTACTGCTTTGGTTTAACAAATGAAGCCTAAGGTTAGTGATGATCCTGATCTCTTTTGACTAGTCTTGCCAACAGCATTGGTTGAATTGAAAGTTTGGCATCTGGGTTGCTCAGGATTTACACAAGACACGGTTTGTTTTTGGCTACATTGTTATGATGGTTACCGCATGGATTGATCGGTGAATGAGTGGTTAAATAGGTGGTTGTATGTTTATATATAATTAGTTGCAAACTACTATATAGATCATAAAGTAGTGGGTTTATTTACTGTTCCTATGGATCACAATGCCAAAGAAGGAAGAAGCTACACGCAAATTGCTGTCTTTTACTCGTTGGCATATTGTTGCTGTTTAAGGCACCTCTTGGAAGAAATTTGGAAGGGAAATATTGGTATATATTGTAGTATTTATATACCTTCTGATATCACATGGAATTCGGTTTTCTCAACTGAGATTCTTCCTTCGTTTCTGTATTCACACACAACAGGAAAATATTTCCAGTATTTAAAATTTGTTGTCGAATCCGTATGTTAGGGAAGCTGGTGGATATAGGCGTGTTGTTCTGGTCTTTCCTCATTATGCTTTGCTTGAATGTTTGCAAGGAAAATATTAAGTTGATTGCCGGCAATGGAAGATTTCTATGGGTGGTTTTATTGTTATTATTAGTTTGAGGAATTTTTGTTTCGACTAGGAAAATATCAATTGCTGGTTCCTTGGAAGTCCTCCATAGCATGACTTCAATGACTATTATTTTATGATGAATTTTCCTTGCATTGGAGTAGTATCTTGATTCTACTAGATAGGCATTTCTTGCATCTTGTACAGGAGAGCTGTTGACTATGACTGGACCATTTGGCATCCAAATGAATTTGGTGAAATAAATATCATTTGATGACCATGT